ATATGCCTTTTCTTGTCCGAAAAATTGCCAGAGACCACATCGTCTGCAAACCCTAATCTCGTCCACTCCGCCCCCGTAAATCCTCCTCTGCAACTTCGATTCGTTCTTCATCGTTTAATTTTTTTTTTGTTATTATCATCGATCTCACATAAGATTATCTCGCAGGTGGAGCTTGGTTCTCCTTGCTCGACGGTTCGACGGGTATCCTAGCAATTCATCGATTTCTTCTGCCATTTATTTAATTTTTTTTTCTAACGTTTGCGATTGGGTTTTACCATATTGTTTTTTCCCAGGTCTCAATTCCTTCGTGTTCGTCGACCAATTCGAACTTCACCTCTTCCGGACTGTGAATTGGTTCTGGGTATGAAATTGAAAAGTGGTGTTTGTTTTAATTTTGTTTTTAATGTTTGCATGTGATTTTCCATCTGTTCGATTTATATTTGGTGTGACCTACATATGTATGAGTGTGATTTTCCATATGTTTTCATTTGTTTTGATGATTTGTTCGATTTGTTCGACTACACATTAATCGGAATTTGTTTTCTTTTAAGCATATTTTGGGTGTATGATATTCCTGTTAATGTTAGGTTTGAATGTTTTTGTGTTGGTTTAGGACAAGTTTGATTTGTTAACCACACATCTACGATTCACAACATTGAGTTATTAATGTTCTTCCTGCGAATATGCGTTTATGTGCACCTTTGTCCTATGCAAGATGCTTTTTATTGTGATATATTATACTAAAAATTGTATATGCTGCGTTTTGTTGGTTCTTCAATGTACACTGAGTCATTGATGTGTAGAGGTAGGTCAACATCTCATCTCCAGTCATGATTATGTTGTAAATTCTATCCTTGGCACCTCCGTCCTGGTGTATATTATTTCAAATTTATATATAGAAAGCCCATTGTCTCTCTTAAGAATCATTTCCACTGAGGTTTGTTGTTTTAACATTCTAAATACTCTGCATTTCCTTAAGTTCTTCAAACTCCACCTCAGTGAACTGTTGCCACTCTAAAAACTAATAGCTGAGAGTGCACCTGCATAATTTGGTAGTATTTTAAAATAGCCATTACTCCTTAGGATCCAACCTTTGGGGTTGCAACCACCAATTTTTGTAATTTACTTTTTCTGTGCACATCTTCATTTTTGTTTTGTCAATCTTCTGTGTTTTCTTTTCTGTTGTAGGTGAGTTTTCTAAAAAAATTGTGTTTTCCCTCTCCGATTTCTTCAGTTATTAGTGAAATACTTGGAGGTATTGTCAACTTATTATTTGTATTATTTGTTTCGTTGTGTTAAAATGTTTTTGGGACCAACTAGTTTTTTTATTTCAGCCTTCGTATTTCATACATGGGATGACTATATTCTTCGTTCAGGATGTTGTGGTGACCTAATTTATTGACTCCATACCTATGTGCTCATTTACTTATAACTTGTCCAAAATAGTATCATCTCTAACTAGTTATTTTGACACTATCTACTCACAGAAGAAGAAAGTTTTTAGATAAGCAAACATTATATGTATCTAACAGACTCACCAACATGTAATGCTTATATTGTCAGGTGGAATATTAGTACGAGTGAATCATTCTCTCCCTCTACTTTCCGCTACTGCACCTACATTTGGGGTAACTCTCTTTAATTGGTTCCGGTTTGCTTTATTTTTTCCCCCTGAAAGATGCTTTGTTTATGAACATGATAATGCTCACATGATGCTATCTGTCATTTAGCCAAAATGCGTCTGATGTATGCTTTTCCTCTTCCATGATTCTTTATTGTATGGCATGTTTGTTAAATTGTGTCGCTTGATTCTGATATTCATACGTTTATGCTCTCATTACATGTCAATGTGGTTTGTTCATAAACATTTGTAGATGGATTCAGTTGGAGAAGAATTAGCGGTTGTTGCTATACTGGAAGAGGTCATGTCTAGTGTTCAACTTTTTTTGCTGCTAGCTATCTATTACTATAACACATTCATCCTCCCTCGTCGAAAACGTCGACGTTCGGGCAGTAACCACGTCCCTTTATTCCAAGTTAGTGATAGACTGCCCCTTCAAGTCAACTACATGCGAAGGTTGATTGACGTGAGTGATACAACTTGCCTCGAGAACCTCTGCATGGATCGTAACTCATTCGAGCGTCTGTGTCACCTTCTTGCAACTGCTGGCGGTCTTAGGCAGTCTAGAAATGTCCCACCAACTGAACAAGTGGCTATTTTCCTGTCAATCCTAGCTCACCATAAGAAGAATGTCACTTTAAAGCTTGATTTTGTTAGATCCGGTCGAACCATAAGCAAATACTTTAACCGAGTTCTTGACGCTGTCATCCGAATTCACTCAATCCTAACCGCGCAACCAAAGGCAGTTGAGGAAAATTGTGTCGACGAAAGGTGGAAATGGTTCAAGGTAACCTACAACAATTTTTTCAACGGCGTACCAATTTGTTCGTTCAACCCTGTCCACCTAATAAGTTTTTGGGTGTTTCTTTGTCCATAGGGATGTCTAGGAGCAGTAGATGGAACCTACATTGACGTGCGAGTCCCTGGTATTGACAAGGCACGATATAGAAACCGTAAGAGTCGTATATCTGTGAATGTACTTGGAGTTTGTGATATAAACATGAACTTCGTGTACATGTTATGTGGATGGAAGGGGTCAGCGGCAGATAGTCGAGTCTTGCGTGATGCGGTTACTAGGACGCATGGTCTACGTGTTCCCAATGGTATTAGACCCATTCTATTACCTAAAACACTATCCATTCCTCTTGTCAAAATAAACGAACCATAATGTTGTAATTATTTACATTAAATGAAATTGTCAAACAGGAAACTATTATTTGGTGGACGGTGGGTATACGAATGGTCCGGGTTTTTTTAGCACCATATAGGGGTGTAAGATACCACCTACAAGAGTGGGGCACAGGTTCACGCAGGCCACAAAACTTTAGAGAATTGTACAACCTTCGCCATGCTAAGGCTAGAAATGCGATTGAACGTTCATTTGGCATTTTGAAGATGCGATGGGAAATTCTTAGGAGTTGCTCATATTATTCTATTCGAACCCAAAATCGCATTATCATGGCATGCGCACTCATTCACAATTTCATACGGACATCGATGGCCTATGATCCCATTGAATCAATAGTTCCTGAGATTCCTGATGGTGCGCTGTCGGGAGCTAATGATAAAGATGATTTGATAGACCAGGTGGAGGCTAGCCCAGAATGGACACACTTCTGTGACCAGTTGGCGCATGATATGTTTAATGATTGGCAGACTAATGTGCGTTAGTTTAAGAAAGTTTGTTTAGTGTGCGGTGAATAAATACATGTCTACTTTTAGTCTTTTTTTAAACCACTACATCTGTCACGGATTTTCATTCATGTTTGTTTTTTTTTGGATTATGTATTTGTCGAATTATTATTGGATTTACCATAATAATGATTTGGGATAATTCATTGTCAAGCGATAAATCAATTGATTGTGACCATGGTATTAATTTTAAACGTCCAAGATAATATATTTGGTGCAAAACAATTGGTAGAACAGGTACCGCTATGGACTATTCATGTACTCAGGACACCGGGCGAGCTTCCTCCTCACAAACAGCTAGACGACGTACTTGGAGTCTGGCTGAGGAGGTTGTCCTAGTGCACATTCTGAAAGACATGGTGTTGGAGGGTTGGAGAGCTGATAATGGTTTCAGGCAGGGGTACAATTTTGAAATTGAAAGAAGATTGAAGTTGAAGTTTCCAGACTGTACCCTCCGTGCAGACCCGCACATCAGCTTAAAGATACATGTGTGGAGGAAAAACAATGTCAGTGTGGCACTCATCAAGGGTAATTAGGATTCGGTTGGAGCGAGATCACTAAAACTTTTTCATGCGAAGATAAAGTTTGGAGAGAATGGATGAAGGTAAGATAATACTTTCAAATCAAGTCCATTCATGTAGATTAATGTTGTAACAGAGGAAAAAAAAACTAAAATCAGGAAAACAAACCATGGTGGTAATCATTTCTGCACATTCGTCGTATTTAACTAATGTAGGTAGATCCAAATGCAAAATCATTGAGGAACAAGTCTTTCCCATACATCAACGACTGGGCGGAAATTTTTGGGAAAGATAGAGCAACAGGTGAAAGTGCACAAGCCTTCGAGGACGCAGCAAATGATGTCCAAGCGCAGGACAACCTGATGTCGGATAATGACGATGCCCCATCAGATCAAAACATCGGACATGGTTCCCCAGGTCTTGGAAATGGTAACCCAGTCATGGGTAACACATCTGGGACGACATCTGAGTCCGGTACGAGGGTTGGAAAGAGAAAGAAAATTACTAGAAGGATTGCAGAGAGCCAGTGGGAAGGACGATTTCTGGATATCATGGAATCATTCTCTCAAAAGACAACAGACAACTTGAATGGCATTGCAAGTAGGCTTGGGTTTGAGCACGACGAGGAGAAAAAAAGAAGTGCAGTGATTGACTCATTGTCTAACATGCATTTCTTGTCAAATGAAGATAAAATGGTTATCACCATGCATCTATGTAAAAATCCACAGGAACTGTCAATGTTCTTCTGCCTGTCCCAGGACAACAAATGTCTCATGGTTAAAATGATGCACGAAGGTCGACTGTAGGTTGATTGTAATGGGTTTGATTTGCTTATGATAGGAGTTACTATTTCATGCGGGGTTTGTGATATGGGTTTTGAAGACCATTGTATCTGTTTGATGTGTTTGTTTTGATGTGGGTTTTGAAGACTTAATAGTAGTATTTGTGGTTGTTTGATTTTGCTGGTTTAGCTATGTTGGTTCTTTTTGATGTATAACCGATGAATTGGCGTATGTAAAACTTTATAACCGTACTGTTAATTATGTTCTCGGTTTTGTTGTTTTGCTTATGATCATTTTTTCGTATAAGTGCAAGTGAAAAGTGTTGAGGTTGTATTATGCGATTCTTCTTTATTATGTTTTTGGAAATCTTGTGACGACAGATATATGATGGACAACATGGATATTGATATTGCTGCTGCTGCTGATGGTCCTTATTTTTTTAAGGCAATTGTATCTCGCACGTCCCATACGATGGTACGTTTGTTTCTTTTACTTTTACATTGTTATTTTATTGAAATTCAAATTTTTTGTAATTGTCTTGTCCAATATGTATGTCTCCAGGAACTGCCTCTGGCCACACACCGCCATTACCATGGTGTTGTGTTTCCACAGAGGTTCAGTATCCAGACCATTGAGGGTCGTAAGTACGAGACGACTTTGACTATGGTGAACAACTGCCCAACATTAGTGGATTGGTGGAGAGAGTTCATTCATTCAGAAGACATATCCATAGGCTGCATCCTAGTTTTTCATCCCAGGACGATATTCGACTTTCAAGTGTGGGTGATGCAGCCTAACGGATGCGAGAGGCAGCCGCAGTTCATTATGGAATTTAAGCCAACTCATGTGGAGCGCGCACGTTTGGTATGTTGGTCCGTTTAATAGTAACTGACAAGACTTGTATATTTTATATCATTTATTGTAATGTTGTTGGATTTGCAAATTGTATAACATCTGGTTTTGTATCATTTTTTTTTTTTATTTTAGGCAATCCCCATGCACTTTTGGAGGGGTTTCATTGAAGGGCGGTACGTGAACTACAATTCCGCAGTTTTGCAGTTTGGCGACAACCTCTATGATGTCGATATAATTCACGGGCATGGGAAAAAACTCATTCAGAATGGGCGTGCTCGGCAGTTCATCGATAACAACAACATTGGTGTAGGTGATGTTTGCACCTTCAGTCTCATCTCACATGAGGAAAACATAAAATTCAAAGTTAAAATTTAGTCGATTTGTGAAATCTCAAGTGGAGTGTGTGGTACTTTGGGTTCATGTTGCAAACTTACTGGGTATGATGTCATGAATTTTTGTGAAGGATGTTGAACACTCTGTTTTGTTGGATTTCTTTACCTAGTCGGATATTGATGGACACTACGTTTTGGTAATGCCCTTTTGGTATTTCAGGATAATGTTCAATTTGGGCGAATGATGCAAACTTTCGGGATAATGTTCATTTTGGACACTACGTTCATTTCGTGAAACATGTAAAACCTAAAACATTTCGTAAAACAAACAAATACGAACAAACAAAACACTACATACAAAAGCAAGGAACATTACGAACAACAAGGTTTCGTGATACTACTATGACAGGATTTGGAAAACAAAACAACAAAAGCAAGGATGGAGATCAACATGGTATAGACAAACCACATACCACACTTCGCAAAACAAACACTACAGACGCAAATGCAAAGCATAATAGAAGTGAACTAGCAAACAAATACGAACCTTGTTCTAGGGCCAATCGAACCTTGTTTCCGTAGCATTGGTAGAACATGCAGTGGACTCCAAAGTTGCGTCTGGTTGAGTGACAGACCCATTAGTCGACCAACACACCACCATGGACTCACGGGAACACACTATTATTGTTTTTACTAACCTCCACTACCAACATGTCCAACAACCAAGCACTAACACACAAACATTAAAATAGAACAACAAACACTAACACACAAGTAGGAACACAAAAGTTAAGGATTCATTATATGAAGGACCTAGTACGTCGGCCAACCCGGCGTATAATCCATTGGAGTGGCAGAACACGCAGTGGACACAGAATTTGCTTCTACTTCATCCACTCGAGGGTCATATGAGTCGTACTTTGGTAACTGATTGACAGATCCATCAGTTGACCCGGTCTGACTGTGTATTGAATGTTTTTTTTAGGCCTTTGAACTACTACCCGCATAAAAGGCTGCACGAGGTGGTTGGATTCTACGTGGGATGTCATTTCGAACAAGGTACGGTACCATCTTACTCTTTGGATGAGGATATGCACTATAGCCCTCGACATCTATAATGTCAACACATTTGTCGTGGCCCTTCTGTGCATTCGTAGGTTCTTCGATGTCGTTGTTAGACAAAACATGATACTCAAATGGAGGTATGTATGGTGGCTCCACGCGAAACAACTCCACTATCTTCTCATGCTGGGGATCGCCTTCCTCCATGTAAGCTAGCGAAAATTCATCCCACTACATGCAGATGAAAATTTATTTGACTTTGCAACTGAAACAAAATTGTAATAAAGCGAGAAAAACATCATTATGAAGACTCACCGTTACCAACTGATGCCACTTCTTGTCGGATGCATGGTAAACATTGTTCGCCTCATCATATTTAACCCCATCTTTTTGCTTAAGTTGAGAGAATATATGGTATCTTTTGCCCAAATTGTCAACACGTTGGTTTATATAGTCCGACGTGAAACGGGTTTCAAAAAACCCCTTTATCTCCCTCATAGCATCGACGATACTACTATTGTTAGCTGCAAATGGAACAAACAAACCAACGCGCTTCTCATCAAACAAAAACTCGATTAAAAACTCGTCCAGCTTTGGGGTCCAATGTAGGTCGTATAAATAGTCGGCCTGCATTAAACCAAAACTGAGAGCCATCGCAAGTTTAGATCTTTCAAACTAATTATATATCGAAACGCAAGTGTTTGTGTTTATGGTTCTACGAATGTGGAATGCTTTGGAGTGCAGTGAGGTGCTTAAATAGAAATGATATGGCCTCGACAACAATAATGCAAAAGTTGATACAAGCCACACGATAGAGTCGTCATATCCATATGTTGGAATCAATTCAGCTTTGCAGAAAAGCTGAAAGGTACCTATAGGCGTGCATTGAAATGTCATATCATGTAGCTTTGTGTGGTCATTTGATGCACATAGATTGCAAAGCAACAGTTGGTTGACAACAAGTTTATCGGGAAGAACGAAGATTGTCACAATGTGACAATGGAGTACATTGACAAGCTCAATACAATTTGGAGGAGCACAAATTAGATTAAACAAGGTCTCCAATTTAATTAGGAAAACATAACATGCAATTTTCTCGACATAGTAGTAGTTGTCTCACCGACAGTTAAAATACATACAATTTTACAAGAGTGGTTTTTTTCCTTTCAAACTATCAACATCTTCCTCAACAGTCATCACGCGTTTGGAAGCACTTTCCACATCCGGGTGGACCGTGTCCTAGTGTACATGACCAAAAATGATCTGCAATTTCGACCACTGCGGGTCGTCCATTGTTTCGTATGCTAGACTAAAAGGTTCATCCTGCAAAACATTAGTAATGTTAATCAAACAGTTGGACACAAAGGTCGAAAATTAATAGTAGCGTGGAATTTGACCACGAAACGTACAGTAAAGATACTCTTCCATGATTCTTTTGGCCCCCACATGAGCCCACTCTCACGGCAGTAGTTGATACCATAGTTTGTAATCATCTCCCGCATCACCCTATGCCTTTCCCTAAATTGCTGAAATCTATTTTCACAATCTAATGAAGTGTATAGCATACCGAACTTAGTGGTCAACATATCCGCGCCTAAAGTAAACAATGAGTACTCGTCTTTTTTATGGGGTTGTGCTCCTACCAGCAACTGTGCGAACTACTCGTCAACCTCAAATGTCCATTTTTGGTTAAACAAATATTGTCTTTGCTCTGGGGGGAGGAGGGTGTAACACCCTGCTATTTCATGAATTTCAGAGTGCGCTTTTCGCAAATTTTCTAAACAAAATAAATAAAATATTTTGTTTGCGAAATCTGATTCGGGGTGCTACCGTAAAATCTGACTTATTCTGAAAACCGTTAATTTTAATCTAATAATAAAACGGTTATAAAATATCTTAACTGACTAACGTCGGGTCAAAAGCTGATTTAGAGTACTGAAAATAGTAGCGGAATCATAGCGTAGCCAAACATAATATACACACATAAACAAAAATGTCTTGAACCGGTCGCCTGCTCACTCCTCGGCCCCGACTCTGTGACCTGAAAAACATGAATAACGTGGGGGCGTGAGCACTAATACACTGTGCTCCGCAGAAACTCATACTAAAGTAAACAGTGAAAATAATAACAATATCATGATCCTGGCA